TCTCGCTCGCCTCTCTCTTCCCTATAACATGTAGCTACGAATTGTAATTATCAAACTATAGCTATGGAGAATAATTAGGCTATTTTTGAGTGGCTATATGTGAAAGTTCCCCTTTGAAAAAACCTGAACTCCTAATAAAATGTTTCAACTAGATATTTTTAACTCAAATTTTATTTTTATTTTTAAAAACTTTTGTTGTGTGTTTTCAATCATTTATTCGATAGTAAAGTCAACCACATTAAATATATCATCTCCTTTAATTATATGCATCAACCTCAAATGAAAAACTGTGTGGGATTTTACAGTTTATTGAAATGAATGCGTATATTTTTTTTTAAATGATATAATTTATATGATTAACTTAACTATCTAATAGTAGAATGAGAACACACCAAAATTTTTTTTAATTATGAACCAAAAGTATCTAAGTGGAACACTTTAGTAGGAATAGAGGTATCCAACTGAAATAAGATTTAGTTCAAATATCTAAATAAAATATCCTGATAAATTTGAGGGCAGTCATGTATTATTTCAATTGGAAACTAGAGTAGTATTATTTAGAGCAACTTTCACATATAGCAAACACAAAATTCATATTTGTATGTTATAGCAAAGTTTGCATAATTGCGCTTCATAGCAAACACAAAATTCATATTTGTATGTTATAGCAAAGTTTGCATAATTGCGCTTCATAGCAAACATAAATATGTATATTTCGCTATACATATACAAAAGAAAACAGTTGTATAATCTGTTTTGGTATACATACACAAAAAGATCAATGAGCAACTTACAAAAATGACTATATTTATAGGGTTATTGAAGTTCAATAGCTATAAGTATGTTATTTACAATAAATGACTACATTTTATATCTTTTTTTCGCTGTATTTTTGTATACATTTTTTATTTTTCTATTTATACACTAATACATCTTTAACTACAATAAACTAAATGAGGAATTGACTCTAAATATAACCCACTATCCTTATTTATGTCCATACGATGAGCAACTTTCCATTATTAACATTAGAACTAATAATTACTTATTTAAAGACATACCCGATCATATTCTTATCAGTTTAAATACTCCATTCTCTTGTTGTCTCAAAAGATGTGGTATTGATATGTCATAATAATGATTGAATAAAACTTAGAAAAAATGTTAATTAAAAAATCAATGAAGGTAAAAACTAAAATACATTTAACTAAAAATACTCAGGAATACATACCCATATATTTAGGATATACCTTATGAGTAAATATACTTTCTTTTTTTTTTGAATCATGGGGGCTTTTATTAATTGGGAAAGATAAATACAAACTCATTTGGGCCTATTACCCAAATCAATCAAATACATATAAAATAAGAGCAAAGAAGCCCCCTTCAGACAAGGCAATTCCTTGTCACATTATAGACTATAGTCTAGGGTTTCCAATTTCAGATCTGCCATTCCATTTCCTTGAGACCCTCCACACTTACGAAATGTTGCATCATAGCTCACACCTTGTCTCTGTCTACTCCTTTTTTGGATCCTCAACCAAATATCACTATTGTTCCTTCTCGTTTGTGTATCAGTTAACAAGAGTAATTTTCTATTCTTGCTTGTTTTTTTCTTGTTCATGACTTTCCTATTCTGATCTCCTTCATCCTAAGGTTGCATGTGCTGTGCTTTTTTGTTGTTTTTACAGGTGGTGTCAATACCTATTGCAGTTCTACTCCTCCTCCTTCTTTGTTTGATGCTAGCTCCTTCCAGGTTTAAGATTCTCCACCAGACTTCCAGCTCTTTGCAGGCTGTAATATTTAGACTAATTAGTATTTCACAACCTTTAATTATGTGAAACAACTTATTATGTATCCTCTTCAGCCCTATTATCCCTTCACTAGTGATACTCTTAAATAGGGGCATTTTAATTTATCATTGATTATAATCCTTTTTCCTTCTGGCTCCATGCTTTTATAATTTGTCAAAATGCAATTGTCTTCATCAATGGCTATATTAGCCAGATAATCTGCTAGTTGGTTTCCTTCCCTTAGTATATGCTGGAAAATATGTTGCTTGTTTTGCAGGTATGTCCTTATCTCAGCCACCATATCTGTAATTATCCAAGGAGTTGTCCACTTTCCTTCTAGTACCTTACATAATAACATTGAATCTGTCTGGATAATAATTCTGGTATGATTTGATTGATTGCAATGTTTACATGCCTCTAGTATTGCCTTTGCCTCTGCCACTGTATTTGTAGTAGTTTCGATCATATTCCCTTCTGCATACATAATATCTCCTTTGTCATCTCTTAGGCAAAAAGCGTATAAGCTTTAACCTGGATTCCCTCGTGAAGCTCCATCTGTATTGTACTTGACCCAACCAGCCGGTGGAAATTCCCATATGACTTTTGTTACCTTCATCTTGGTCCTATAAGCATCCAATTCTTTCAACATTTCTGGCCAGAGAGATAGGCATCCCATACTTGGTTTCCTTAGTTGAATCAACATAAAGATGTTCCTAGTTACATTGTGTATGACCCTAGGCAGTGATGTTTTCTTCCCGTCATGTTTCATCTTGTTTCTTCTTCTCCATAATTCCCATATTACAAAGCAAGGTATAGCTCTGTAGTATGGTTTCATGTCTTTCTTGATGTCTGCACCCCACCAGAGCATAATCACCTCTCTCAAATTAAGGCCTGCCGTATTTAAGCCTGCAAAAGAACAAAAGTAGGACCAAGTCCTGTTAGCTATATATGATTTCAGGAACACATGAGCTAGTGTTTCCTGGTTAGGCCTATCACAACACCAACACTTGGAAGGACCTTGCACTCCCCATCTCCTTACTCTATCATCGACAGGTATTTTGAATTTCCACAATCTCCACATTAGAAAAACCATTTTGAAAGGGACTCATTTCGTCCAAATCCACTTGTAAATTCTATTGTCTCCATCCTTGTGTCTGATGTATTGCCAAGCCGTTTTAACTAAGAAAGCTCCTTTTGCGTCAAGCATCCAGCACGGTATGTCTATTTCCCCCCTATTACTAGGAGGTCTAATATGTTGTAGGATGTGTTCGACTAGTTCATGTGGAAAGATATCCTCTAACACAGTTAAATTCCACTCCTCATACTTTGTTAACTCATTAACACTTGTATATGTATCATCCCATTCCACATTATCTCCTGTAAGGGTATACAAATCTCCTAAGCCAGTCCAATTATCGTGCCACACCAATGTTGATCCCCCTTTAACCTGCCAAAGAATTTGATGCTCAATAAAGTCTCTTGCTTGTAACATTTTCTTCCAAACCTGAGATCCACCTGCTCCAACTTTCCACGTAACTGCATTGGCATGTACATGCTTGCAACTATTTTTTATTGGATTTAACTTTAAACATGAACATGTTATAACCAATGTGTGTATTTTAGGAGCCACAATAAATCCTATTATAAATTCATCTCGAACAAAGTTATGTTACTGATATTCCTTGATAAAAATGGCTAAAGAAGACGAAACTGTGTGAGCAATTACTATTTAGCAATACTAATATACATAAATATAGTTAAATAAGATACAACGAATATGCATACAAAAATATAGTTAAATATTAATATACATAAATATAGTTAACTAAGATACAACGAATATTCATACAAAAATATAGTTAAATACTAATATACATAGATACAGTTAAATAACATACCACAAATATGCATACATAAATATAGTTAAATAACATATAAAGAATATGCATACAAAAATGAAGCCTATCAACGATTCTTAATTGCCCAGAAAGAAACTCACTTATTCATTAATTAAAATACTTTAAGCCAAATTAATTAGGCATGAAAGAGAAAAAGTTGATGATTACATATTGGGAAAAGATCAGTAAAACGTGCCTGCAATAATTAATTAGGCATTCAATAATAACTAACCTATTTTGTATTTATTTATATTAATGTATATTAAAACTTATTTATTTGTATATAATTAACTTTGCTATTTATTGTATAGTTATATCCATATATTATGAAAAAAAATAAAATGTAGCTATTTTTCTTGAATATATAGGTATGTTTGCCATATTCTGTAGTTTTTCCAAGATCAATTATATAAAGTGAGAGAGGCGAGTGAGCGAGCGAGATTTGGGATTAGGGGAGAGAGGGGAACGAAAATATATGTATATATATAATTTTCACGCATTTTATACATTTGCGTTTTTGTATAAAGTGAGAGAGGCGAGTGAGAGAGCGAGATCTAGGAGAGTGACGAGCGAGATCTGGGAGAGGGGAACGAAAATATATGTATATATACAATTTTCTCTCGCTTTATAAAAACACAAACACATTTTATACAATTTGTGTTTTTTGTATAAAGTGAGAGAAGAGAGTGAGAGAGCGAGATCTGGGAGAGGGGAGAGAGGGAACGAAAATATATGTATATATACAATTTTCTCTCGCTTTATACAAACACAAACGCACTTTATACACTTGCGTTTGTATAAAAAACGAGAGAGGCGAGGGAGAGAACGAGAGTAGCGAGCGAGATTCACCAGGAGAGAGGTGAAATAACAATAGTTTGTTATGAGGTACAATTAAATCAAACTATATTTATAGCATTTAATTTAAATTAATAGTTTACTATTATATACAATTTCCCTATTATTTAAGACATCTGAAACATAATTAACATGAAAAAAATAATATATTTTTCAAGTTTTAAATTTAAGAATTAGATTTCGGTAAACATTGTGACTATGAGGATTGAGGAGGATTAAAGTGAAAACTCTTTGTAAACTTAAAAGGATAGAATTGCTCAGAAAATGATAGTTTAAGGATTATTATGAACTTTCAACAAAATATAAGGGACAATTATTGTCAGTTTCCGATTCCAAATGTACTTGGGTTTCTGTCCGACGTCTCTAGGGATTTGCTAAGCAATATATACAACCATACAACTTAGATAGATTTTCTGATCTGCTACTGCTACATCCTTCTCCGGTGTCCGACGAGATGTCTACTGATTGGACCGCTGCTCGCATGGACTTGTAAACGTTAAAAGTGAAACTTTTTGTAAGAATAAAGTATAAAATTTGCTCAGAAATAGTAGTTTAAGGATTATTATTATTACCAAAATATAAGGGATAATTGTTGTCAATTCGGATTCGGATTCCTAATGTACTTGGACTCTGTCCGCTGTCCGCCTATTCTAGGGATCTCCTAAGACATAAGGACATATATACATACACATGTAGGAGGGTTGGGCGTCTGCAACCTCAACTTGAGATATATTTTCCGATCTGCTACATCCCTTCTCCGTTGTCCAACGAGATGTCTGCGGATTGGTCGGATCTTCAACAAGATCTGCTGTTTCTCATAGCTAGACGTTTGAATCTGATTGAAGACTACTTTAATTTTGGCACCGTCTGCAAATCTTGGCACTCTGCAACCACCAAGGACAATTTTAACAGTGACCTTCCTAGAACTCCATGGTTGATGCTAGCTGAAGAAGAGAATGATAATGGTGATGGTGATGGCACTTGCTCATGTCGAAAATTCTTCAGCCTCTATAATGGCATGATTTTGAAGAAGAAGATTCCAAAGGCTAGCGGAAAACGTTGTATGGAATCTATGGGTTGGCTTATCACAGTCGGAAAAGACGAGGGTGAAATTAGTCTGCTACATCCCTTCTCTGGTGTTCACATTGAACTGCCCCATCCGAATACCATGGAAAATTATGAGCATGACCGGACAGGAGACTTATGGACATTTTATCAGAAAGCAGTTCTGTCAGCTAGTCCTTCTCATACATCCGACTATGTTCTTATGGTCATTGAGGGAAGTTGGAGTGAACTCAGTTTTTGGAGACCAGGAGATTTGAGATGGAACAAGATTATCTGGGATGAACCTAGTCCGCCTAGTTCACACGTTGACGTGACATATTTTATTCCGTGGATTATGCTGGCCGCCTCCTAGATTATGATATTGCTCACCCTCAACCCACTAGAAAACTCACAGCGCAGTTACAATTCGATACTATAGACCGCCAAGGCCAGTTATATATCTTAGAATCACTAGGATCATTATTTGTAGTTGTGCGACATGGTGTCCGATTCAGGGATGATGGCCATGGCGACAGGTTTCCACTGACCTACATCCGATTTGAAGATGAGGAAGAGGACTGTATATATGGGACAACAAATTTTCGAGTTTTCCAGGTTGATTTACCTGATGGCAAAGTCACCGAAACCAGGGAATTAGGGGACAGAGCATTTTTTATTGGTCATAGTGCTTCTCTATCGATCCAAGCTTCTCAATTTCCAGGAATCAAGTCCAATCATATCTATTTTACCGATGATTTTTGGGAAACATACCTGTACTATGAAGAGGGAGGGGGCTTCGACATGGGGGTGTTTAGCTTGGCAGATGGCAGTATTCAGCTGCATTACGAGGCTCTTTCCTTGAGTCGTGTTGGTCCTCCAACTTGGGTCACACCGACTCTATATTGAGCTGTTAGAATCATCTTTACTTACCCCTATTTGTTATTGTTGTTTTACTGGTAGAAGTGGAATAATTTTTAATTTCAATAATTACAACCTATCACCATTGCAATTTGTATGCTAGTAGCTTTTATTATTCCTTGCTTCCAAGTTCCATGTATTTGTTTAGTATTGGCCTTACTCTTGAATTTCTTACTTGAACTTGTTCAAGTTATACTATTGAGGTGCAGTGCCAGTCACCATTGCAATTTTTATACTAGCCTCTTTTGACTCTCATTTGGTGAAAAATTACATTGTTTGTACATGATTAAAATTATTTCTTTTGTATATAGAGTAGATCTTGAACTACCTTTGGCTTCTTTTTTGCGTCGTCTATTTCTAGCTGAAAATAGGAAAAGGAGGGAGTAATATGTTTTCTACTACTTCCAAGTATGTGACCGGGTGATTAATGAACTGGGAGAGAACAATGAGATCTCATGTCAAATCTTAGCTGAAATTTTTAAAAAATAGTACTACCTAATAATTTCTTCTTATCTGTCAAGTTTTGGTGGACAAAATTACCCACTATTAGCGCTGGTGGTAGTTTCTGTTATTCTAGTTCAGTATGATTAGTGTTTCGACGCTATTTCTTCAAGGACTTGAAATCCAAGTAGGAATTGATGTATTATCGAGAATAAATAGTCTATCAGAATAGTAAGAATACGCAAATTAATTAGCAATACAAAATTTCTGGATAAACACGATTCTAATCCAATCAAAATTATCGATTCAAATTTCTGGATACAAATGCTGGAGAATAGTTCCATACTCAAATTGAAAAGGATTAATATATAGTCCGCCATTAAATTTGTTGGGTATATTTCATTTAGAGATTCAAATTAAGTTATGTTTCGAATTTTGAGAACCTTAATTCCTAATAAAGTATTCTAACTAAACACTTTTAACTCAAATTTTGAAGAAAAAAAAATTGTTATTGCTTAAAAATGCCCTTAACCTATTAGAAATTGTTCAAAAATACCCTCCTTCCACCTATTGATTTAAAAATGCCCTTAACGTTAAGTTCAAAAATGTCCTTTAGCTAACAGAAATATGATATGGAATTTAACCAAACAAATGGCCAATTTTCATTGGTCAACAGAATTATTTTATCAAATAAAAAAACCTCACCCAAACCCGTTTTCAACTGGCACTTCATGCGACCTCTGTTCCTTTCGTCTTCCTCTGTTCCTTTCTTTGTTCTTTCTTTAAAAAACAACTGCTTTCATCCCCAAAGTAGCTAAGTTGCATCAATTAACTTGATAAAAAAATAGTTAAATTGCAACTTTTAAGCCTAAAAAAAAGTAACTTTCAACCCAACAAACAACAATTAAAATGAAAGCTTGAAACCCAAAAAATAACAGCTAAATGTAGATTGTAAACCCCCAAAACAGCATTTTAACCCAAATAGCAACTAAAATGCATAGTAATATTAATCACTGATGCCGCAAGGTGGGAATTTACGTACAATATTCATTCGCATCCACATTGTGAAATGATTTACAATCAATCTTAAATAACTATTACACGATTAACCTTGACTAAGAAACTAATCTTTTATACATTAAATAGGAAGAAAGAAAACACAAATTAAATAAAAAGGGTAGATGAGGAAAAGGGGAAGGGGAAGAAAGAAAGAAGAGAGACAAAAGTTGGGTTAGATTAATTTGAAATGGGTTTGGGTGTCGGGTTTGAAATGGGTCTGGGTGTTGGGTTTGAAATGGGTACGGGTGAGTTTTTTTTATATTTGATAAAATAATTATGTTGACCAATGAAAATCGGCCATTTGTTTAGTTAAATTTCATGTCATATTTCTGTTAGCTAAAGGGAATTTTTGAACCTAAAGAAAACGTTAAGGGCATCTTTAAACCAATAGGTGGAAGGAGGACATTTTTGAACCATTTCGAATAGGTTGAGGGTATTTTTGAACCTTTTCCCTTGATTTATTAGATAGTTAACCATGTAAAATAATATATCATCTCATTTATTATATGCATCAACCTCATTTAATTATATGCATCAACCTCAAATGAAAAATGTATGGGGTTTTACACTTTATTGAGATGAATGCGTATAATTTTTGTAAAATGATATATTGATATAATTAACTTAACTATCTAATAGAAGAATGAGAACACACCAAAAATTTTTTTAATTATGAACCAAAAGTATCGAAGTGAAACATTTCAGTAGGAATAGAGGTATCCAACTGAAATAAGATTTAGTTCAAATATCTAAATGAAATATCCTGATATATTTGAAAGGACTGATTATGTATTATTTCAATTGAAAACTAGAGTAGTATTATTTAAGACTATACAAACATAAGTAACATATGAAACAATTTCATCGTCACTTTTGTTTAAGCCTCCAAAATTTTGAGGCACCAAAGAAGTTTTTTTTAGGCACCAAATAAGTTTAAGAATGATTTTTATGATTTTATTTTCACATAATTTACTATTAAAGATTTTAAAAAAAAACAAAATTAATATTAAAAAGGAGAGGAAGAAAAGCTATCTTTTTTTAATTATAAAATGTTTTAGAACTTTGAATTAAATAACTTAAATTTTTATATTAATAAATATCATTTTTTCAATAATATTCTAGGTAATGTATTACAAACAAATGGCTAAATCTTCTTATCTGAAGTTAAAAACTTTATGTCTTTTAAGAACACTATACTATAGCTTGTTGAATTAACTTATTGTAAGTGTTTTTAAATCAAAAGAATTCTTAAACTCTTTTGTAGTGTTTGAATAAGAAATAAAAATACTGCCAAGTACTTGATTTTAAATCAAAACAACCCAAAATATGAAGAAGCTAAAAGTCAAAAGTTGAAATTTCTAACTTAATGTCTTGTGCTTAAATATCATTTAAATCCATCTAAACAGACTCAAAAAACAAGTATTATATGCAAGGATAAATTAAAATTGTTGTTATAGTATATATGTATATATATTTAAGGCCTCTTATTAATTTTTTATTTTAAGCCACTAATTTTATTGAGACGGCTAGCCTACAAATTCCATTACAAGCATAAAAGTCAAAGAACCAAGAGTTATATTTCCTCGATGTCTGTCCATATAAATTTATTGTGATGTCAAAACTTAACACCAACTTCTATAATGACCACAATCATATCATAATCAAAATTATGTGAAAATTCAACAATTTGGTCGATAAAAATATACTTCTAGTCTATATCAAATGAATTATTTGAATATGACATATTCCTAAAAAGAATATATTTTAGATTTGTAAAAAATTATTTTCTACTATTGTTTTTTTTAATTATTCTCAAATCTTCTAGAAAATATAAAGTGTTCATATAAACTATTAAATGAAGGATAAATATGGGAAGAAAGAAAAAAGCTCAATAATTCTCTTAAACTTTGAATAATTCAATTATTTAAGTATGAAATAATACAAAGTTAATGCATGAATTATTATTTTCTAATACACTTTATCAAAATTTATTTATAATATAAATATTACTAATACACCTTATTTAACATTATTCTTATACAATTCTATCACATGATTCCTAAATAATTTAGCCATCATCTATGCACTCAAAAAAATACCATTAAATACTAAAAAAATGTCAAAGAGGAAGGACACTGCACAAAATTTCGAACATGAAAAACTATTAATAGTCTGTTTAAAGAAGAGGGGAGACTTTAAGTATAAAGTTAAAGATAAAGAATTATGGGAATTTACCATTTTACGCCTGAAACATGAAGGATTCGTAATTTCGTTTGATCATGAGAATGTTTTATTAATTTATTTTATTTAAAAATTAATATTTGATCATAAAAATATTTTAATACAAGAATTTAGAAAACACTCAAAATCTTATTTTTATTTTTAATTTATTATAAATATTATTTTTAAAATTACTCTAAATCTTATTTTTATATAAAAATGATCCTATTCAAATTAAATTTTATGTTTAAATCATATTTTATGTAAAGGACATTCAAACCATCAAATATTATTTGTAAAAATTATAATTAGATACAACTTTAATTTTAAATTTTTTAAATAAAGTGAAAAAGATAATTGCAGTAGTGATTGGTAACTTGTATCTAAAATCTAATCTATGACATTAGGTGACTATTTATTTTAAGATTTTCAAAAAAAAAAAACAGAATTTGATTGTACAATTCAAATAAATTAGTTAAATTACATGATTTACTACTTTTTAGAAATTAGAAATATAAATGATATTAGAAAAAATACATAAATATATTTTGTAAAAAACATGACCAAACAAAACTCGATCTTCAATGGTAATAATTTCAATTAAAAAGAAAAATAATTGATTTTCTTTTGCAAAAATACCACTTCCACCCCTTTCAAGGGTTTCTCAAGGGTTTTGCATCCCCGCAGCCATGAATCACGGCAAGAGAATCCTGAGTTCGCTTCGATTGAGGAATTCTCTGTTTTTCACTCAGCTTTCACGATCCCCTTCTTCCAATCATCAGGTGACTCAACACTTATATCTTTCTCCTTCACTTCTCACGCAAATTTACACTTCCACTAGTATTCTCGGTGCAAGTCAAAATGTCTTCTTTTCATCAAAAACTGAATCTTTTGTTGACATTATACTATCCAACGACTGGTCGAAACAATTAGAAAAGGATTTAGGAAAAATTGATTTTCCGGTGACCCATGAAGCTGTTATGTATTTGTTGAAGAAACTTGATAAAGAACCGCGAAAGGCAGGGGATTTCTTGAAATGGGTTGTTAAGCAAAAGGGGTTTAAACCTAGTTCTTCTATGTACAGTTTAATGCTTAGAATTTATGCTAACAGGGATTCAATGAAGGACTTTTGGACTACTATTAAGGAAATGAAAGAGAATGGGTTTTATATTGACGAGGAAACGTATAAATCAATTCATTCTATTTTTCGGAATTTGAAAATGGAAACTGATGCCACCGCTTTGAAGCATTTTTATGGGAGGATGATTAAAGATAATGCTATGGGTGATGTGGCGAAAGATGTGTCTGAATTGATTACAAAACATGAATGGGGAGTTGAGGTGGAGAGACAATTAGGCGAGATGAAACTCCCGGTGTCGGATAATTTTGTGCTTAGGGTGTTGAAGGAACTTAGAGAAATAGGATATCCACTGAAAGCTTTCAGCTTTTTCAAATGGGTTGCGAGGAATTTAGATTTTCAGCACACCACCGTTACTTATAATGGGATTCTTAGGGTTCTTTGCCGAGAAGAGTCGATTGAGGAGTTCTGGGGTGTGGTAAAAGAGATGATGGGCCTGGGGTTTGAAATAGATCTTGATACATATATAAAAATCTCAAGGCATTTTCAGAAGATTAAGATGTTGAAAGATGCAGTAGAACTATATGAACTGATGATGGATGGTCAGTTTAAACCATCACTTGGTGAGTGCAATATTCTTTTAAGATCCATTGCACAGTCACATCCCTCAGATCTTGATTTGCTATTTAGAGTTGTGGAAAAATTTGAGGCCGCAGGGCATTCACGCTCAAAGATTATTTATGATGTCATTCATAGGTGTTTGACTAACTTGGGGCGATTTGAGGAAGCAGAGAAGATAACAGAAGCTATGAGAGATGCAGGATTTGAACCTGACAATATTACCTACAGCCAATTAATATATGGACTTTGCAAAGTGAGGAGGCTGGAGGAGGCATCAAAGGTGATAGATGTGATGGAAGAATGTGGATGCATTCCGGATATCAAGACTTGGACTGTTCTGATACAAGGGCATTGTTTTGCTGGTGAAGTTGATAAGGCGCTGTTTTGTTTTGCTAAGATGATGGAGAGAAATGTTGATACAGATGCTGATCTGTTGGATGTACTACTTAATGGTTTTCTGAGTCAAAGAAGAGTTTTTGGTGCATATCAGTTATTGACCGAGTTGGTGAATAAGTTTCAAATGCGCCCATGGCAAGCAACATACAAACTTGTCATTCAAAAGCTCTTAGGGGAAAGGAAATTTGAAGAAGCGCTTGATCTACTCCGTCGGATGAAGAAACACAATTATCCACCTTTTCCAGAACCCTTTCTTCAATATATTTCAAAGTCAGGAACAGTGGAAGATGCAGTGGAGTTTTTGAAGGCGTTGAGCGTCAAGGACTATCCATCTGTTTCAGCCTACCAACATGTTTTCCAGTCCTTCTTTGCAGAAGGTAGACATTCTGAGGCAAAAGATCTGCTCTACAAGTGCCCACATCATATTCGCCAACACCCAGCAATTTGTGGCCTCTTTGGTTCGTCAAATTCTAACAGTGGAAAAGTGAAAAGGTTCCCCCGGCAGAGCTCGACTCCTGTGTAGGCACAAGGTGCAATTAGTGAAATCTGGGAGGAGGATTAAGCCTTAAGGTTAGTATCTGATAAGAGCTCCCGATGCTAACCTCGCCAGGATCTTCAACTTTAAAAGACAATTACACAAGTTAATCAGATAGCTCCAGATATCACTCTATTAGCTGGTTCAGCCAATGCATGCAAAAATCTTGCCAGGTTCATGTCTTTAAGATTTTTCACTTAGAACCTGAATAAGGTTGATTTCCTTGTATTCATTGTGTTTATTTCACAATTATATGCTCTTATATTTACTTGAAAAAAGTGGCAAGATGACAACTCACATACTTCTGCTGCTTCACACAGTTGTTTACCGAGATGCAATGAGCCTTGAGACTCATTATTTAGTGCTATTCTGTCTCAAACTAGTGAAACCCGAGAGAAGTGGGTGACCCTACATATATTCCACATATGTAGATATTAAACTGCATAATATTCCTAGAGATTAGCTAATTCAATAATAGCATGTACACCTGGAATTTTGAGTTTGTAATTCTCACCCATCTAAACTTATACCAGATTGTTTTCTTCCTCTACCGTTTCTTGAATTCTCAAGAATTGCTTCGCAATCTACGATGTGAATCGCTGAAACCATGATTTTTGTTTTTTGATAAGATAAGTGGTATTAATAACAGCATCAGGAAGATGCATAATTTACAAGATATGGCATTTGAGCTTACAAAAAAATCTCTAGCTAACTATACAAACTATCTAAGCCAGAGCTAATGAGTTAGTAAAATCCTGAGCTGAAACCATGATGAACCGTCATCCAGAGAAAACTGTTGCACAAAAGACTCAAAAGTCATCAAATTGGCTCAAATATGTGCTGGTGGAGAGGTAGTAGGTATCACGTGGCACAGTTATTTATTTTTTTACTAAAAAAGAAGAAAGGTTCGAAGTCATCAAAAGGCAAATTAGAGTAACCAAAGTATCTGATAGAATGTAAGACATGATATTGTAGGCTGTTGCACAAATTGCTTGATGGCAACATGATTTGGTGCCTAAACAAGGTAATTAAATGTAGTAACTGTTCGGCAGGTTTTAGTTCCCGTTGCTGTAGTTTTGACAAAATTGTAGATTCTATTCTGAGCACCTCGGCTGATATTTAATTGGTTAATCAGACTAAAAGTCAGTATCTCCGTCATCTAATTGAAGAAAATATCCAATGACATTGTGAAACTCTAAAAGCTTTTCACTAGTTCAGGTTTAGTATTTGTAGATAAAAAGAGTTCGTCTAAACAAGATACTTATTCTTTACAAATAAAAGGTATCTTGTTTAGACAAACTTTCTCAAGAAAAAGATACATTTTCCTTACTGGGATAGACTTGCTATAGAGTATCAATCATCTATTCCTGAATCCTCTTGCAAAAGAAGAACCATAAGTGAAGCTGATAAATTTACAGCTAAGCTTCGTGCAAAATACACCCCTAATTCTACTGCAAAGTTGGCTAGAACAGTAGAAATATGACCGAAACTGATAAGTTTACAGCTAAGCTTCGTGCAAAATCTTTTACATACTAATTCTACTGCGAAATTGCTCTTGTTTGTGTTGGTTAAATATCAAAGATCTTGCCAAGAATTCATCCTGTTACCACTAGTAAAGCTTATTTTTGGCAACTAATAAAACTTCGTTTGAAAGTATGAATGCAAAATGTATAAATTTCTTGCCGAGCAAAGATAGCTTGTATTGATCCATGGAGATATGTGTTGTTTAACTGCCTCTTCTAGGTGATTTTTGCTGATGCTCTATCTCCTTTCTCCTCTTCATCCTGCACTGTAAATGTACACCTAGGTTTAGGTTTGAACTTTTTCAGTTTTGATCTTTCATCTATAGCCATTGAAGAGATATAAAGGAAGTATATTGTTTTCTATGTAATTTCTTATAATGGAAAAAAGGAGTGCATTATAATTTTTTTGTTGGCTCCTTGTGTAATTAGAAGTGGCATAATATCACATATATTGGGAAAACCCTTGAACACACAATCTCTTTTCTTTTGTTACTATAAAGAGGATTTGTAGGCTTTCTACCTATGTCAAAAAGAAGAAGATGACTAGTAGGTTTTCTTGTGGAACATATATTAGAATGCTATATGAAAGTTCCACTGGTAGGAGCACATAAACTATAGAAGTATATTGACAAGTAAAAGATCCAAATACTGCAATTAAGAACTATGAAGCGCTATTGGAGTTGTCTTATGCCCATTGTTTGGATTCTATGATATTCTTGGAGGTTTATATGCTCGGATTGTCCAATTTAGTAGTTTGCTTGATAATGTAGGAGAATTCCCTAAGTCCTTGCCCAGCTCTTCTTCCAGAGAAACAGTCTTTAAAGGTCGAAGCTTGATTCCAGCATTGTGATTCTTTCTAATGAGTAACATGTCCATAAATGAGCAGTACTTATTGTTGCTCAATTGGAGTGATTGTACATATCGTGAAACGAAGTCACAATTAATGACTGAGAAAAGATGTGACATCCATAGTTTCTTCCATGATGTTTGATGTTTTCACCTCTTCGATCTATTTAGCCTTTATATCTGACTTTCCAGCAAGGAGGCCTCAGACTAGGATGGGGGTGGGGGGTTCCTTGCAGTCTGCTTGGAACAATAAGAGTGAGCAGAATAATGAGAAGTCACTTGTTGAATCATCAAATATTCCTATTTACCGTTATTCCAGCCAAATTTAGTTGGAGGGTTGTTTGATTAAATTCTGCAACTATTGTCCTTTATGAACTTGGGATGTGGATCTCTAATGTTGTCAATATAGTAGATGCACTTCATTTCTAAAGCTTTGCCATGGTAGTGTCTGATTTAAGTGTTGTAATATTACTCAAATGATGAACTTAAACAAATCAACAAATTTGACTGTGCAGAAGTGCCTGGGTTTCTTTCTGCTTCTGCTGCCAGCCTGATAATTGAACTGGTGGTATTTGTGAAACTAGCAGTAATAAACATTCTGTTGGTTCAAGGGAAATTACAAACCGCCTGGCTACAAATCGTTGTTTTCTGTATTCACTCTGAACTGTCGAATTTGGAGAGTAAGCTGCTACTTCAGTTTGAGAGGTCAATGCCACCGTGCAGCTGAGAAATGCAGTTTTGGCCATCATGTCATTTTCATTTGTGTTATGTACACTCAAATGTGCAATATTTATGTTATCAGGTTGAAAATTTTCTTCTCATTACTTTTCACTTTGTTTACCATTTGTCACTGGACAATATTAAATTTTACACAAAGAACAGTCCATTTATTGTATTGGATTTTTCGGAGTTTCTTGTTACTGATTAATAGGTTTGAAGTTCTTATGCTACGTTATCACTTGACCGGTTTTAACTGCACTTTTAGCTGTCTTCGGTTTTTGACTCATTTGTTGGCTGTTGAGTTTTGTTTACAACTAGGAGAAGTCTAATTTTGGTTTCTTCCAGCTCTTGATCAAACTCTAGATCCATCATAACAACTTGGGCTTGCCACATTCAACTATAGAATAAGTTTTCACGATGTTCATGGGCCTCTTGCAGTGATGAAGAAAGAGTCAGACTCCCTTTATTTTTATGGTGCATTGTCTATTGTGCTTGAGGATGCTCTATGCTTCTAGTCTCAACCTTCAACATAGAAATGACAGTTCAGTGCACTAAAGCTCTAGCTATGCGTGAGGTTCAGGAAAGGCCCGAACCACAAAAATCTTCCACTAATTCACTCCAAAGACCACCTTTCGAGTGTGAGAATTGCCTTTTCAAATGCTCTTTTATTGAAGATCTTAAGTCACTTAATTCAGTTTAAATTGTAATTTATTGGTTACTGAATTGTCTCTTTCAGAATAAGTTGAGGGCACATATTACAATATATCATTATGTTAGATAAAAATATACTCCCTTTGTCCCTATTTACTTGTCAACTTTTGAATTGACACACCTATTAAAAACACGGAAAAAGGTCAAAATTGCCCCCGAACTATATGAAATAGACCATTTATACCCTTCGTTACATTTTGGGATCAAAAATGCCCCTGCTGTTATCCTAAGAGACCACAAATACCCTCAAGAGTTAACATCCCAAATTTTTGTTGACGTGGCAAGCCACGTGGGACTAATCCTTCCACCTAAGCGTTGCCAACTAGGATTCACTACAAAAGAACTAGACCTTTAGCGGCAACAACAGTCGCCACAAAAGCCCAGAAAATCGTCACTAAAAGTTTTTAACATTAAATTCTAATTTTGTGTTTCTTTCTTCATTGTTTTTAAAAAACCAAATATGATATCGATTAAATAGGAGTTTGAAGACACTATATGTTTTATTTTTATGTCATATGTAAATGTATAAAGTGTACAATGATGCATTATATATATATATATATATATATATATATATATATATATATATAGTATGAGATTTGAATTGAGAAGTAATTTTGATTATTTTTCGTAATAATATTGGATGTTTTTAATATGGATATTGCAAGTTATTTATTTTAGAAAATTAGGTCGCAATCGAAAATTAATTATCATATTTTTTTGTTGAAAAAATAGGTTTTACTAGCGAATGGTTGTTGGAGCCTTAGTCGCCACTAAAAATCGCTCATAACCTTTAGTGGCAATATTTTGCGATTTTGTGGCGACTTTGTCGCCACTAAAAGTCAAGTTCTTTTGTAGTGAATCTTAGTTGGCAATGCTTAGGTGGAGGGATTAGTCCCATGTGGCTTGCCACGTCACTAAAAAATTGGGGTGTTAACTCTTGAGGGTATTTATGGTCTCCTGGGATAACTGCGGGGGTATTTTTGATCCCAAAATGTAATTGAGGGTATAAGTGGTCTATTTCGCATAGTTTAGGGGCAATTTTGACCCTTTTCCGTTAAAAAAATAATTAATAACATAATGAGTTTACCATTTTACTTCTATTAATTATGAAATTGATGAATTTCAAAGTAATTAGTCATTTAATTGATGATATAATAGGTAAAAAAATATTTGTCCTTTCTTGATTTGTCAAAATGGACAAGTAATTAGGGACAACTATAAAATGAAAAGTGGACAAGTAATTAGGAAGAGAGGGAGTATGTCATCAGCAATAGAAGGTTCTATTAAACTCATCCTTGAATATGTGATGAAAGTAGGTGCCAAATAAGTGTGTTCTAGAAAAAAAATAAAATAACGTGGATTTATTTTTATTTTTTTGTGTGCCAAAATTTATTATCTCTACCTCCCTTATTGAAGAGTACATCTTCCTAACCTAAGGCCACTAATAGAGTTACGATTACAAGTTTCCATCTCCTAAAGTCACCCAAGATGAGGTTCTTCTTGTCTCAAGATAACATGGCCCCCCATACAATATCCCTCACTTAAGACAAAAGTTACTGTAAACACACTATGAAGAAAAAGCAGGAGCCTCATCAAGATGAACAACATGATGTTGAAATCCTCAAGGCTGTGGCACAAGCCTGGCATGGCCATTCCAGCAGCCGTGGAACCACTGCTGAATTCGACGCCCACCGCCACAATTTCAAGAATAAGCCATCAAGATTCAAGCTTGAAGCTATAAACAAGGCAACCTCCAGGGAATATGATGGCACAATTAGTAGATGGGATTTCAGCCAGTCTCTTTGGGATTCTTATGAGATACTCAATGTGTCCAAAAAGTTAGAAACTGGGCTAATGCTGGACCATCCATTGGATGGGTCAATCCAAATTGGGCAGAAGCGGAAAGAGAGTAAGAATAGCTTAAGAAAATTACTCAATAAGGTGTCTTCAAGAAGATATAATGAGGCTGAATCAACACTAGATAAGGATGGCTAATTTCAAGTAGTAATATGTAAAATTTGGTTTCATTTTCTAAAAGAAGCCCAGAGAGCTCTGTTTTTCGATTTTATGCTGATTCTTCTATAGCTTTTACGCGATTTTTCATATACTTATCATCACTTAGCTGAGGGAAGCACAAGATGCATTGTACTGAAGCCTGCAACTTCATCCATCCACCTGTTGAGTGAATAAATGAAAAAACAAGGAGTGGCTAACGTTTAGCCACTGGGTGGGGATGTGTTGGTGTTTTTGTTCCCGTCCCACGAGTCGAAGTCCCCACACTTTTCACATCAGTTAGAAGATTGATTGAGCTGCACTTTATAGAAAACGAATCATATGCCTTAGAGATAGGAGATTTAGGAAATATTTTCCTCTGTCGTCAACTGAATTATTGTACCTTGTTTTCGAAGATTCTTTCAAGATTGGAACTTGAAGGGACCATTGTGGACCGGGAGAGTGCCCTTCAAGTCTAGAAGCGATGGGGAGGGAGCAGTAATTTGTGAGCGTGTTGTGCAAGAGCTGGACATTACAGTAATGAACAAATAGGCAATTTCTCTATTAACATACGGTTAGTAGTAGAGTCTAACTTATGTGCACGGACAGTAAATAGTTTTCCTATGATCTACAATAACAAGAAACTATGCATGTCAAGTTTGATTTGGTACCTCAAAAATGCAATAAATTAATTACCTGCTATTACTGGTAAAACTACAGTAATAGTGTACAAATGCTTTAATTGTTAGTATATATAACATAAATCCTTAGTAAAGCAGTTCCTTTATTGTTTTTTCTACTTTCAACTTGAGGATTATGCTTTCTCCCTTTTCTGCTAACTGTTACTAGCGATAACAGAATAAAAGTAGAAGATTTGTTTTCGTAAGATGGACAACCTGTTGAGTTTTGGATATTGTTGAAAGTGAGGCTTCCTTCTTCTAAGTTTTAGATGGATTAGGAGAAGCCGATGCAAATTAGATGAGGGAAAAATCTGGATGATACCAAAGCTAGTCCTATTTGATGAACTTGATGCAAAATTAGATGAGCAAATAGCTAGTAACTTCAAATTTCATTACATATCAAGTATTTGCATACAGATTAAAAGTAAATAGAACTGTAAAGACAGTCTATGGTCAAGTGCTATAAGACAGACATTTTATTATACCAGTGATTCAATATGACCTAATGGTCATTCATAACTGTAGAGCCTGCCAAGCAACTAGCTGTATGTTCAATAGACCTTAAAAGTGTCCATCTTTGCAAGCTCAAAGTTCTTGTGTTTCCTCTTGATGAAGTTATCAGCTTCATTATCAACCTTTTCCTCACTGACTTTATGTTTCTCCTTCCTACCGACTTCAGTGGTTCTGTCATGCTCCACAAAGTGGGCTTTCTTTTGAGCTTCAGGGGGAGGAGACCCATGGTGATATCCACTAGGAAAGTTGTATTTAGACGGATTGCCATACATATTGCTCTTGTTATTCCTTTGGATGAAGCTATCATCTTCATTATGAAACTTTTTATCTTTGACTTCAGTTGTTCTGTCACGTTCCACAAAGTGGACTTTCTTTTGAGGTTCAGGAGCACGATACCCTTGGTGAATTCCACTAGGAAAGCTGTAGTTATACCGATTTCCATGCATATTGTGCTGTTCTTCCCAAATGACTCTCTCCTCTTTGATCATGGTGTGGCCATTTTGGTACCCGGATTCAACAACTGGCATTCTTGTTGTGCGAGCAATGTAATCCTCAACAGATCTGTCAGAATAGGGCTGCTCAAAGGAAGGGAAATGTGGTCTCCAAAACATTTTTCTTATTTTTGTTTGATTGATATGCAAAAGCCTAAACAAGTATAGCATTTTATAGTCAAAATACTTGTGCTGAGTATTCTTACTGGATTACGTCTAAGAGCACGAAAATACCTTGAATCAGATGCCTGCCCTTTAGTCTTGTGTCAAACAGTGGATATTCCAGTTAGTAGTAAGCCTACTGAAGAGCTTAAAAGACATTTTATTCTTCTTTTATCTTGGAAGAATAAACATGTTGTAATTTGTACGCTTCCAAGTTTGAAACTTTTGACCATATCTGTAGGGTTTGATTCTATTCAGCTTCATGATGAAACTAGATAAAAAAGTAGTTTTACCAGATAAGAATCAACAACAGGAAACAATGTTCTTTTCTTCTTCCATTCCTAATCATAGAGAACCTCCTCACTTTTTAACTATGTTGATTGGACTCTCCAAAAATGTTCTCACACCCATGTCAGATGTTACTTTTGTAGAATTTGACAAACACTCCTCAACATTTTTGAAGAGTTCTAGCAACATAGCTTTGATGGTTAAAACGTAGCATTGGCGATATGGTTTCACTAATGATTCTATCTTGGTTGGAAGTATTTGAATTACATTTCCCTGTCAATGTTCGTGGTGACAATACTATTGCATAAGTTTGTGGTGTCCTAAGAAATCATATTTTGACCCCTTTGATAGAAGGAAAGCATCTCATTAATATATTCTGTTAATTTTCCTTTGTGAGAAATTTTAGCTGCTAAGACCCTATCATATCTATGTGGAAAAGAAAAGGTTGCGTAAATAATGTTTAACAATATCTCAAAATTCAGTTTGAAATTCACTAGCTAAGTCTATTTTGTCTGACAAATTGAACTAAAAATCATCTTTTAAGACATTGCATTTCTGCTATCTTCTGAGGCTTTGTTCCTCTTTTATCTGAACTTGTCATACATACATCAAGCTCACAGTTCTGCCCCATCATTAACGCATTTCTTGTTCCAATACCAGCATGATGTTGGCCGATGTTACTTGTTAATCCATTAAACTCTTTCATCGCAGTTTTCTTTGTACTCAAACCAGCAATTTTGCAAGTCTGCATCTGTTCTAATACTGTCATATTTCTATATCTTTGGTCACTTTTCACCAATAGATTCGTATTCTTGCTCTTGCTCTTGCTCGTCATCTCTTTTGACATGACTAGAGAGACTCGTACACTCATCTACTTCATTAAAAATATTCGCACCCTATTGCTACAACCATTTCTTGAAATAAATTATGCCTAATTTATGCTTAGCTTTATTCTGATAATTATGTAAAGAATAAAAAGGCTTAGAACAGCTAAGGCCAATGGAAACCAGATAAGTTTAGACATAATACTATAGCTTCTATTAGATATAGACCAAACCAAACGTACAAATCTACTTATTAACTCTATGGGTACTACAACAAGGTAAACATGAAATGTTTTCTTCCTTCTTCTTTTGGGAAGCAAACTGATTGTAAAAACAGACATATATACATATAATATAGCAAACGATTTAGATTATTGAAGAAGAGTAAGTGCTAATAAGATGTAAACACTTTAGCATTACACTTTGAAAGTCCTCCATTTGTGAAGCTGAAAATTCTTGGGCTTCTCTTTGTCATTCTTGTTTGATTCCGCAAACTGGACCTTCTTCTGGGACTCGGTGTTTTGACGATTCATGTTAGACTCTTTTCCTTCATAACTTAATTTGTTTTTGAAAACACAGTAAGCATTGGGGTAGAGAGGGATATCAGGGTGCATAGTTGGGGCTTTCTCCATTTTTTTAAGATGATCAAGGTACTCATCATTGGACGTTGATTCCCAATATCGCATGGAGCTCATCTTTTCTTGATTTTCTCAAAGTAAATTAGCCTTTATTCTTACTGCTGAGTAATTGTAGCTTGAACAACAGAATTTAAAGGACCAAACACAGTGCCTAAAACATTCCAGAAGGACAGATAGATGTTGAGATTTGCGATTGAATCTGATTCCTTCTCATCAATACTTGGTATCCAACTCTTGATATTTTGGCAGAGAATCAAAAGGGCTTAACTTTTTTAAGGAACAGATGTTAGTAGACACTTGGAGGCATTGTTGCAACTTGCAAGTATGTAGGAACATATGTTACAATGCTCAGTGATTTCCCACTAAAAATGAGAATCAGTATCATTTTAATCTAGGTATGAACAAGGTATAAACAAGATTTTTTAATTAAATGTAAATTCCGTCCTATGTTTCTCATCTTTCCAGCCAAAGGCAGAATTAGTCTTTTTATTTCTAGGGTTTTAAAGGTGTGAACATGAAATAAAGGGTTGTGACTCTCCTGAAGGATTGTGACCTTTATAAAAAGTTGTGTCATTTCTAAAGGGTTGTGACCGTTTGGAAGGTTGTGCCTTTTCCAAAGTGTTGTGACATTTCTGAAAGGTTGTCTTTTTTCCACAGGATTGTGACCTTTACCCTTTGTTGGCTATAAATAGAGAGGTTTTCCCTCATTTTTTTGCATCGAATTCTTCCCTTCTTTTGCATACATTTCTTACAAAACAAAATCGATCGATCGATCGGTCTGTGTGTGTGATTCGTTGCTGTCATTTTGAGTTCGTTGAAATTATCGAAGTTTGAGGTACCATTCTTTAATGGTTAATCCGTTTTATCTTGAGAAAAATTAATCTGCAACCTCAGGTACTTGAGGGTATTAAATTTATTAAGGACACACAGTGGATTCTGTGGATTCGGATAGTTCTTTGTGTTTTTCTTTTCATCTTTTATTATTTCTGATTTGCTAATCTGAATACAGGAAATAACAAGCTTAAGAAATTTATATTGATGGTATTTTATGGTAAGGAAATTACTTTTATTTTTTGTGTTCTTTTTGTTGGAAAGAAAAAGAAGAAAAAGAGAATTATTTTATCATATGATAAAAGAGTTTTGGGATGAATTAGTACAACTTTAATATGTTTGAGTATATTTTCTGTAGTAAGTTTTCTTGGATGGGTAAGATTATTTTTATTTTCTTCCAAAGTGCATTGAAGCATTGCACCCCTTCAATCTTCTTTTTAATAAGAAAAGTTATTTTGTGCATAAAGGTTAAGATATACACTTTAATTTTTTTTTATTCTTGGTTTTATATAACTATGAGAAGAGACGTAAATGAACAAATGTTGTCTCCTAACAATATTTGAACATGAGTTTAGTTTCTCATTGAAATTCAATGTCTTTTGAGGAAAATTG